GAAATGAAATACAGAATAAAAAAGAGCCCTAGGGCTTCCCTGGTGGCGCAGTGGTTGAGAGTCCGCCTGCCGATGCAGGGGACATGGGTTCGTGCCCCGGTCTGGGAAGATCCCACATGCCGCGGAGCGGCTGGGCCCGTGAGCCATGGCCGCTGAGCCTGCGCGTCCGGAGCCTGTGCTCCACAACGGGAGAGGCCACAACAGTGAGAGGCCCGTGTACCGCAAAAAAAAAAAAAAGAGCCCTAGACAAATGCTGGACACGTTACTTTCCCCTTTATTAGCATCCCCTCTATTTTGGCATCTTTTGCATTAACTGGCAACCATTGACATAGAGGCTAGTCAGCCTCCATGGACAGGGCTGTTCCTCACAGCCCTGGGAAGCAGGGGTGTTGAGCCTGGGGGAGGGGTGGGGCACGTGGGCACCTGGCCAACATCAGGGAGGGGCAGTATTGACCAAGTAGGACTGATAAAGCTGCCCTCCCTTGAATGGTCGCCCCATGCAGATGACTGAGGGGATGAAATGAGTCCTGGATAGAAAGAGCAGATTGCCCTCCCCTCCCCCAAGCCTCTCCCACATCTCAGACCAGAGCCCTGAGGTCACCACCCCTGTCCAGCTCAGGAAGTCTCCCGGATTGGCTTTGAGAGAAACACCCACACACACACCCCCACCCCAGGGTCCCCTCCAGGCCTCCTCGGGATTCCTGATAGGGCCACAGAGATCCTCGGGTGGAGCGCAGCTTCTCGATATCCTCCCCGGGGTCTGGGTGAAAGGGTCCCAGGCCAGAGCCCCTACCAGGCCCGGGGTGCAGCTCATTTCACTGCTCCACATGGGCAACTAACCCCACATACCACCAAGCGCCCCAGCACTGGCTCAGAAAAGGAGGGGGCTGCTCCCTACACAGCCTTGGCCTGGGTCTCGGGAAGAGGGGCTGCTCCAAGCCCAGAAAGGCCTGGGAGGGCCTTGCACCAGTCCTGGGGCTCAGGTCTCAGGGCCTCCTCCAGCCCAGTCCCCTCCCTCACATCTACAGGACAGTGTGCTTGTCTACCTCTTTCACTGCGCAGAGCTCGTCTTCCTTGTCAGCTCTCATTGCTCCATCCAACACATTTACTGAGCTGTCCAGGAGGATGGTGATGAGGACAAAACGATCCCTGCCCTGAAGGAAAGAGGACAACAAAGCTTAATTTACTGAGCACTTACTACAAGCCTGGACTGTTCTAAGCATTTGACTTTCATAACTTCCGAGGGAGGTGGTACTTAGGAGGTAGGAAAGTGAGCCCACAGGGTTCAGTGGCTTGGCCAGGGTTACAGGTGGAATCAGTGGCAGAGATGGGACACACGCCAGGATAGTGTGGCTCCAGAGCCTGTGGCCATCGCGCCCTGCCCTCCAATAATGGCCAGTACAGGGGGCCTTGAGGACAGGTGGGGGAGGGTGGGAGTGGTAGGG